ATGTATATAAGAACAATTACATAGTATATTTTGTATACTTTACAGAGTAGAATCAAGAATTTAAATCAAAATAATTTAATAAATAACAAATCAAAAATAATATTTTAATAAAATAAATACAAATATATAAAAAATAAAATATAAATAAAATAAAAATTATTAAATAAAAATATTTAATCTATAATATTTTTGAGCTATATATTATAGTATAAAAAAACCTGCAACAGGAAAAAAAATTTAAATAATAATTATAGTAATAAAAACCTATAATAGGAAAAAAACTATAATAGTTTAAAACAAATCAATAAATAAATATAAATTATATTTTAATTTTAAAATTCTTTAGCAAGTATTGTTTCTAAATCAACATTTAAATTTTCTTTTTCTTCTAATTGTTGTTGATTTAAAAATAAATTAGTTTCAGATTCATTATTATCATAAAAATTTAAATCTATTAATTCTGCTATAAGTAAATCATTAAAATTAGTTTTATCTTTTTCATTATCTAAATCAAAACTATTATCTTCATCTTCATCTTCATTTTTATTAGTATATTTATCTTCATTTCATTTTCATTAAAAAGATTACTATCTTTAATTAAATTTTCTGATATTTCATTAACTATAGTTTCAAGCTCTTCTTCATTAAAATTTTCTTTAGAAAATTTTAATTCGGATTTTATATTTGTAATATAAAATGAATGAATTTGTGCTATTAATTGAAGTTGATTAATATCTAATCTATAAAAATTTTAAATATAAATTATTAAAATTAATAAAATTATTATTTTAAATTCATTAGTAAATTTTAAAATTTAAAGAATTTTGAAAAAATTTTAATTAATATAAAATCTTTTAAAAGAATTTAAAAACATGTATTGATTTCCAAACTTTATTAATAAAATTGGCTAAATTGTACTAAATAAAGTTGTTTAGTGATAAATTCTAGTTATAATAATAGTTAAATTATTAAAATAGTTTAATATATACTAATTGAAAGATTTTTAAATATTTTAATTCTTTCACAATATTGTGAAAGAATTAAAATATTTTAAAAATCTTTCAATTAGGATATCTTGGTGAATATTAAACCAATTTTGATGATTTAACTACCATTATGACTAAAATTCATTATTAAACAACTTTACTTAGTACAGTTTAGCTAATTTTATTAATAAAATTTGGAGATCAGTACAAGTTTTTAAATTTGGTAATATTAAATATTAACTATACCTTGTTCTTTTATTCTTTAATATCTAATTTAAAACTGAGAATACTCTTTCACAAGCAGCTTGATAGGGAATAATAGCAAACATTTTTAATACTAATTGTTGTATAAATTATCTAATTGCTTACAAGTTGTCCACCAAATTTCAGGTGTATCATGATCTTTATTATATTCTATATTATATGGTTCAATTTTTTATGAATATTTTCTAAGTTGTGTTAATAAAATTTTACAACGATTTGTATTTTTACTAAAATTTTTCCAAATTTCATAGTATGTAAACAAATCTCTCGAAAAACTTTATTTTTATATTCTTTATCTAAAATAAAATTAAATTATATTAATAAAAATATAAATTATAAAAATTTGTATATTTTTAAATTTTATTAGCAAATTTTTAAAATCAAAATTTTTTGAAAGATTTTATAACAATCAAAATTTTTTCAAAAGATTTAAATTTTAAAATTTGTTAATATTATAAATAAAATATAATTAATTATATCTTTATATTTAGAATATAAAAAATAAACAAGAAGATATGTTAAAATATCAAATTGTTTTTAATACTTATTATAAATTTTGATATATTGTTTTTTAAAATTAGAATCTGTAATATTAGAAATTTTTTTAATGCAATTGCCATTTTAACTAATTCTAAAAAACATAATTCCATATTGCTTGATTTGTTTCAACTGCTTGAATTGCTCTTTTAGAAGGTGCAAGTATTGTTTCTAATTGCACTACATCTTGCCAAAATTGATAATTATAAAGTATATTTTTAATATTTAAAGCATGAAAAATTTCAGACTAAATTTCAAAAACCTAAATAAAATATATAAAATTATTAAAAACTTAAAACAATTTAACAAAAAAAATAAAATTATTTTGATTTAAATTCTTGATTCTACTCTGTAAAGTATACAAAATATACTATGTAATTGTTCTTATATACAT